TGCATGCATGCGTGTGCATGTACGGGCATGTGTGTGCATATGTGTAATTGCACGGGCAAGTATGTGTGCATGCATGTGCATGTGTATGTATGCATGTGTGCCTGTGTGTGCATGTGTGTGTGTGCATGTACGTGCATGTGTATGCATGTGTATGTGTGCATGTGTGTGTATGTGTGTGCATGTGTGCACACACTCCTGCCTCTGTGTGCACGTGTGCTGGGGCATAGGCACTGGGGGTGGGTATTGAAGATGGGGAGGTCTGAAAGAGATTCTAGACTGTGAGCCTGAGGGAAGAATGGGCCCCAGCATGGGACTTCAATGGCCTGGCTGGGGAGGAGAGCTGGGGACCCTGGACATAGGCAGGCCTTGGTGGAAAGTCTGGGGAGGCTGGGGCCAGGCAAGGGGTGAGGAGAAAAGGTGTGGCCCAAGCCCTCACACCTGGGCTGGGCTGGGAGCAGACAGGCTGAGACGGTGGGTACCCACCATCCACCTAACAGCTTGTAGAAGGGACACCCATGACCTCACCCCAGCCTTGAAGTGGGCGTTGTTCACCCATTTTATGGATGAGACTCAGAGAGGGGACTGACTCCGGTCACATGAGTCACTGGCTGAGCCAGCTCAGACATGGGGCTGCCTGACCCTGATCTCTGCCAGGAGAGGGAACGACTGAACTGAATTCAATTCAACAGACACTCCCTGAGCGCCTACAAACTAGGCCTCGCCAGCACTCTTTAATAGATCTCTGCAGTGAAGGCAGCATCCTACACCCTGTACCGTCCAGCGCAGGAGTGGCTAGTCACATGCCAGGGGTGAAGCTGACACTGCTGGGCTCATGGCCCTGAGGAACTGAATTTCACATTTGATGTCGTTTTCATTAAGATGTAAATAGCCTTGCGTAGCTAGTGCCTATCATATTGGATGGCACAGGCTAGACAGGGGTTAGCAGTGGTAGACACACGTGGAGAAGTGTGCTGGGTTCTTCCTTCAAAGAGATCAAGGACTAGTGCAGGGTGGGGAGAGGGGAAAGGACAGACGGCTCACCCAGCCCTGAGCTTACCCCCAAGAGCTCACCTCTACCTAGCACTGCTACTTGGGGCTGTCCCTCCTGCCAAGGACCCTCTTCACCTCCCTGGCCTCTGACCTGCTCACGTGGAGGCAGAAGGCAGGGCTCCTGTCCCAGCAGGCAGGCCTGAGCCAGGAAGCACACACTGCCTTTACCTGATGATGTTGGCTGCGGCCTTCCGCTCCTGCGTCAGGAGCTCTGGGTCATGCATAACTTCTTCCAGGAAGCTGATCACCTTGCATTTGAGCTCATCGTTGGTCTCAAAGTCCTGCCAGGAAGGTGTGATGGGCAGCTCTGGTTACCATTTTTGAGCTGCCCTGCAGTTTGCGCCCAGGCAGAGGAGGGAGCTGCAGTCTCTATCCTGCCTCATTTCCTTTTCGCTGGCTTCCTGGCAGGGCACGAGAGGCTCTCCAGGCCTAGAGAATCTTAGATAAAGACACTGGGGCCAGACCAAAGCCCATCCTCCAGCTGGCTGTACCCCCGGCCAGGGAGTCACAAACCTACCTGTATCCCTGCTACAGGCAGGGTGGACAGACAGAGGCCCCTCATCCCTTCCACGTCCTTGGTTCCCCTCTAGGGAATCTGAGAGGGCCCTCTCGGAACATCAGGGTGGCACACTTGAGCTCCCTCACTCCCATTGCCCCACTGTCAGCCATCAGCTCACTCTGCCCGCAGCTGCTTTTGGAAGGCAGCTGGTTCCTGGGGCCATTGCCCGGTGGGCCCCAGCAGCCTGCCCAGGGAGGGCTCCCACCCACCTGAGAGTGCTTGGACACCCAGTGGCGGAGCACGTTCAGGACACGATTGGTGGCTGCTCGGCGGATCACAAACTCCTTGTCTCCATTCCTCTGGTCTGGGGGGAACCCTGGCAGATGGGAGAATGGACAGAGGAGGAGGAGAAACAGAGCTTGGTACTAGTCTGGATTTGCCTTTCGGATCTGGCTGAGCTGGGGTGAGAGGGCGAAGGGCAGGGGGATAGTAACATATTTAACAACAAGTGTCCGCCCAATTGCACAGATGCCATGTCTTCTCAGGGGACACAGTCCATGCATGCCCAGCCTGTCCCAGACCCCTGCATCTTTCAGGAGCTGCTGGAAGGTTCAGGTAAGCTCCCAAGACAGAGCTACGAAGGCCCTCCCCAGGGATCAGAGCTCACAGGGGCCCCTACTCCAGTCTCTGCTTAGGAAGTGGGAGGTGGGAGCATGGGGAGGAACAGAGGTTCCCATGAGCAATGGGCTTTATGTCGAGTAGAAGCTGGCCAAGTAGCAAAGGGCGATGGGTGGGAAGGAAGGGGCCTCCAGGCAGGAGGGTCAGCACTGGCAAAGGCCTGCAGGGTGGGAGTTTGGGGGTAGGGTGGACGGCATTCAGTTGGGAGCTGAACGAGGAGGGGACAGGGTGGGCTGTGTCTCGATGCGCAGTGACCCTGGCTCAGGCCCGGAGTGTGTACAGAGCCCCAATAGTGCGGGGAGGTGGGGGTTGTGACCCAGCACCTCCATAAATGGAAGGCGGTGCCAAAGTCAAAATAGTGATTCGGGAAACTTCGTGTCCAGTGAGTGAGCGTAACTGATTGAAGCAGGGAGCTCCCTGGGGGTGGGTGCTTTAACAGGACCCACCTGTGCCATCGGCAGCACGCCTTAAACACCCAAAGCAGAGCAAGTCCCTGGGGCCATGCCTGCTATCACCTGCCACTGGGGCTGACCCTGGGGAGGACCCTGTGAGCGGAGACCGCCCCACATACCTGCGCTGGCTAAGGACATCCTCCGGTATTTCTCCTTGTTTGGGGTACCCTCGTTGGCCCCCGCAGTTGCTATGGCAAAGGCGGACGCGGCCGACAAGGCACTGCGGTTATTGTCCAGTTCGCGACAGGAGGTCATGACGACTCCATTGTTATAGGAAAAGAGCGGGAACTCTGCAGAGAGGAGGGAACCAAGTCTCAGCTGTCCCTAGTCCCAGCTCCTCAGGCTGTTCGAAAATCAGGGGTCCCGAGGCTAGGCCAGCCTCAAGAGCCAGCAGGCTGTCTTCAGGGCACCAGGCATGGGGGGTGGTGCTGGTGTGTGTGTGGGTCTCTCTGGGGAGAGTCACAGCCCCACGTCCTCAGGGCTGTCCCAGGCAGGGGAGCACGCTCCTGCTTCAGAGCACCCTTCTGAAGAAGGTCTCAGTCACCCTTCCATCCTTCTGCTGTGCTCAACCCCGTCACCTCTCAGGTCCAGCTGGGCACGCGCCTGCCCGAGGGCAGCGTCTTGAGTTTTCTTACCCTCTCATCTACTTGAGATTAACGCATAACCTGTCCAACGTCGTAACAATTCACACTGATGGGCTCGTGCGCTCAGTGGGACGGAGACAGGATGGCTTTTGGAGTCCAGCCACCTGAGCTGAAATTCTCCCCGACCCCCTACTAGCTGTGTGACCTTGGGCAAGTCACTTCACCTCTCTGAGTTTCAGTAATCTCCTTTGAATAATAGGGAGAAAACTTCAAAAGGTGGATATGAAGATTAAAGGTGATAACACAGATGGAAGTTCTTTGTATTAGGTAAAAAGCCATATAAATGCCATGGTCTATGACTGCTGTTAGTAATAATAACAATAAGAATAATTTCTAGTTGTACTGACAGTAGAAACCTACTCCCGAAACCTTTGATTTCATCTTGTAAGTCTCTGGAAAGCAATCCAGAGTACTTTAGACAAAGCAGCAGTATTGATGCTGTGAGGCACAGATGACATATTTTAAGGACCCCAAGCTTATTTCTGAAATGTGGCTCCCCATGAGCTCTGTTTTTGTGTCTGAGCAGCTGTGACAAGGTTGCAGTGCCTCCAGGCAGTTTCTCTCTAAAGCTATGTGACCCTGTTACCTATGGGGTTTCTTTTGAAGGCCTGGATAGTGGGGAGTTCAGGCTGCCGGCTGCCGTTTGCACGTGAGAGCAGGTGCATTGGGGAAGGCTGTGTGACGAGGGACCGCCTGGGAGGTGAGTCCCCCAGGAGCTCCCTCACACCATCAAGTATCTGAGAGCCCCCTTGTATAGCGGAAAGGGCTTTATGAAAACCGGAGTCTTTCCCCTTGTTTGAAAAACCTGGCCTTTCTCCAAAGTCATCAAGGTGATGAAAGGGACCTGCACAGAGCCTGCTTCCTGAGAAGCACCTTCTGAATCAAGATCTTCCATGAATGAGCCCTAGACACTGAGCCTCCCTCCCCTCCTGTGCTGGGTGGGCTGAAGGCAGTCTTGTTTGAAGTTGGGAGGGTGACTTGGTTGAGTTAAAGAGCAGAATCTACCCAGACAATGTCCCAATGCCCACAGTCCCTTCCCCTGGGGCGCGGGGAGGGTTATGAAATATCAGAAAAGTTACTGCTTTTAGGCGTCACTCATAAAGCATAAGGGATGACACCCACTTGCCTTCACTTGATTTGACCTGCTGCCCTCTCCCAAACTGGAAATCTATTTGTGGTTTTGAACTGGTGACTGTACCTGAAGAATTTTTGCTTTTGACTGATTTGGGTGTTGTTGGCGATTTAGTTGGTGATGTTTCAGTATCACCGTCATCACTCTGGTTTTGATCAATATCTGACTCCTCTCTCACGGAGACTTCTGAGCCTGGGAGAAAAGAGAGAAAGAATTTTACTTTTCTCCATTTTAATTTTAAAATTTAAATATTTGATTTTAAAATTTATGTCTACATAAATTTTACTGGCACAAAACAGAGTAAGCTTGGGATACAGCCGCTGAAGAAGGTTTAACAGCTTTGTTTCCCACAGGACTTATCAGAACCTTTCTCCTGCTAATGAGCACTGTCACACTCTCCAAGGTGGCTTTTTCTCCATCAGGCTTCTCAAACCTTACCAGACACACCCAGGGATCTTGCTAGAATGCAAATTCTGATTCAGGGGTCTCAGGTGGGGCCTGAGAGTCTGCATTTCTAACAAGTTCCAGGTGATGGCCATATGGCTGGTCCACGGACCATACTTTGAGTGGCACGGTCTCTTTTTCTTTTTCTTTGGTGAAGCTTCTTACTTAAGGTGACCACCATCTGGTCCAGTTTACTCTACTTTTTACCTATTGTCCCATGCCCTGGTCACTCTTAAAATGTCCTGGCTTGGACAATTAATTATAGAGGCCTCCGAATCTTGGGAGACTCATGGTTCACACACCACAGGGAAGCTGATGGATATTAAAAGCTGAAGTCTGGCACAATGAGGTCTTGATCAGAAACTCTTAACTGCTCCGTGCCTCAGTTTACCCACATAGAAAGTGGGTGTAGTTGCATGTGATCTTCTTGAGAACCCAGAGAAAGCCACAGGTCTTCTCTTTAGAAAAGAATGTCCACATGCTCACACACGCACGTGCACACACACACACACACACACAAACACACACACACACACACAGAGTCCGGCACACAATCAGGTTCATGGGCTCCTGAATCACTCGTCAAGAAGGCTGAATCAAGACAACTTCTCAGGACTGCCTTGAGTTACATTTCAGAATGTGAAATTATGAAATTTCTGGTAGGCCATTTCCTTGGCTGCTGACTGCACCACGGTGAGTGTTACTCAGTATGGAGCCTGATGGAGGGTTTATCTCGCCCCAGCTGTGCCCTCTGCTTGGCGGTGCCCTCTGCCTTCTCTCTTGCCAGCTCAGAGGAGAGAAACCCTTCTCTTGAAAGCCTGGGGCATCTGCCCAGCCCTGGGTTGCATGTGGGTGTGTGCTGCGTCCATGCTCTCGTGTGCTCACCGGGACAACGCTGGTGGCATCCAGCATGTGGTCTGATCTGATCTAAGGCAGAACCAGACCTGACGCTTTTAGAATGGTCAGGAGGAACCCGAGAATAGGGAGGCTCCAGCCTGTCCTGGAGTCATCTCCGGCCCCTGTCTCACACTCAGCATTCCAGATCTGCCTGGCATCCGGCAGCGCCCCGGAACACACAGGCCTTTTCTTGCTCCTTAATCATTCACGTCCTACTCCTATGGTCTAGAATGTTCTCCCTACCTCTTGGTAAAAATCGAGATCAAACACTTCTTCCAGTAAGCCTTCTCTGACGCCTCCAATGGTGTTCCCGCCCCAACCTCTGTGCCTCTCGAGCACCCCCTAACACATCCCATCCATGTCAGGTGTCCACACTTCCGTGTCTGCTCTGGGTCCTCAGCCAGACTGAATCCCAGGGGGCGGGAGCTACTGACGACCTCTTCCTTCCCGAAACCTGAATGTTCCTGGCCGAGGCCACGTCCTCTGCAGACACGGACAAACACAGGGATGCCGGAGGGTGCTGTGGTCGGGGCAGGGGGATGCCTGAATTGCTCATCATGGGAACTGATGCTCATCTACAATGTGGCGATGCCCTGGAGTTTTCTGCCTGCCTCCCCTCTCTGCACCTCCCGGACTCTGTGCTGCCTCCGTGATCTGCCTGGTGGGACCCCCTTCCTTCCCCAGGGGAGCAGGAAGAGCAGCCCTGAGGCCCCGTTGGACCAGGCTGAGCCTCAGCAGGGCTGGAAAGCTGGGAGGCAGATTCGACGGCATGGTCACTTACTCTGCTTGCTGAGCGACAAGGGGTCTTCGGGCTTCTCCGGGGTCGTATCACCCTCATCTGGAATCTTGTTGGTGAAGCTGCTGGACACATAGAGCTTGCTGGTGTCCAGCGTGGCCTTGCTGAAGGGCGACATGGCCGAGTACATGCTGGTGTAACCGTTGGTGTTGCAGCTGAGGGCAGCCAGGTCCAGGGCCTTGCCGCCGGTGATGATGGGGATGTTCAGGGAGAGCTTCCGCCGGCGGCTGGGTGACGACGTTTTGGTGATGGACAGGGGTGGCGGTGAGGAGAACTTGCGGGTGGCGCGCGGGGACTTGGGGGGGTCACCGTACAGAAGCTTGTTGTTCTGGCCACTGGCAAACAGGAGCTCCAGCGACCTGCAGGGAGGGCGGGGTGCAAATGACAGTCAGCGTGGGCCTGCCTGCCTGCCTGGGCCTGGGGGCTGTCTCCTGTGGGGCGTGGGGTGGTAGCAACAGACCCCTCATTCTCATGATCCCTGAAACCCAAACCTGAGCTGATCCTCTGAGCAGGGACCATGTGATTCAACGGCCTGGGGCCAAGGGTCCTGCTCTGCGCAGTCTGGGAAAGGATGTGGGGATTCTATGCTCCCCTCCCCTGCACATCCCTTCAGAGCAGCAGCGGCAGCATCTGTCCTGAAGTGCCAAGGGTCCCCTGACCTGCGCGCTGTGCGAAACCTCCCTCCACCCCACACAGGGCCTGCGCTCGCCTACACGCTCTGACCTCATCCTTGGAGAGGTCCTCAAGCATGTTTTGTGGAATGAGGAAGCTGAGGCTCAGAGACAGGAAATGACTCATCTGATGCCTCCTGCTCTAAACCCAGGGTCCTTTCCACCCACCACCGGGCTTGAGCGGCCCTACATGTAAACTTAGGGGGAGGGGACGCTGAAAGTGGCCCCTACCATCCTCGTGACAGGGCCCCACCTCCGGCCAGGCTGGAAACAGCTGATACATCCAGAACATTGCAAACCACAACTTGCCTCCTCCAGGCTGTCTGCTCCACGCTGACAAGGACAGAGTTTATCTCTGAACCCTCACTGTTGTCCCAGGATGCAGCATTCTTATTCCCATGCCACAGACGGGAAAGTGAGGCTCAGAGCGGTTAAAGGACTCGCCCAAGTCCACAGGGCTGGGAGCTGGCTCTGAAGCCATCTCTGTTCTGCGGGGCACTGCCGCTGGGACAGGAAGGGCACTGTCTGCTGGGCCCCTGGGAATGGTCTCGGTGGCTTTTAGGGAGCATTCCATCCTGGATAGAATGTTTTCTGCTTTCTCAGAGCCCTGGGAAGCTGATAACTGAGGTTCCTGAAGTTTGGGGCAGAGAGGCGAGATGTGCCCTGCCCCAGTGAGGCCTGAGGTGGGGGCAGGTGGAGGGAACAGGAGCGGGAACGGGTGTAGCAGCAGAGGTGTGGGTTGGGGGAGGAGTGGTGAGGCTCCTGGGGAACCCTGGGGAGCCACTGTGATTCAGGAACTCTGCTCCTGGCAGCCCTGGAGCTGCGGGTTTGGTCTCAGGTCTTGCCTAGGGTATTGGTGGGCGGGCAGGCAGGGAGGAAAACTGGGGGGGGGAGGGGGGAGGAGGGGGCGGTGCTCAGAGAGCCTCTGAGCCTCTGAGGGCTGGGATGGGCTGTCTACAACTAGGACCTGGATAGGTGGCCTCTCAGAAAAGATAATCACCTGCCATTCCTGGATGGGCCCCTCCCAGGGCAGTGAGGCCCATCAGGGGCCTGACCCAGACCCCTGAACTTGGCCTACTGGGGTGGGGAGCATTGGCCAAGTCCTTCATCACCCCATCCCTTACTTCCCCTCTGTTAAATGAGGATTGATAACGACGTTCCTGATGCATCTCACTTGGCGCAGGAGCCAGGGCTTTGCTTGATCTGACACTCCCTCCCCTGGTGACTTGCTTGGTATTGACCTTGACCGGTAAGATGGGGCCATTTGGTAAGACGGGAGTAAAAGTTTTCATTCAACTAGGATTCTGGGTGTTCAGGAGTTAGAATGATAATTTACCAGTCAGCAAAATCCTACCAACTTTGAAGTTCCGAACCCGGCCCTGTGAGGTGGCTTCAGGCCTCTGTCTAGCACGAAGTCTCTCATCTGGGACCGGTCTGCCCTTAGAATGCCCACCTGGCAGCGACCCTGGGTTCATGGTGATTCCACCAGGCCCCTTGACGCTTGACCAGGGCTGGGGTGGGCGCTGGAACACAGGTCAGTGCAGGGAGCGAGGATAGGAGGGAAAGTCCGTCTCGTCACCCAGACTTAGACAGGAGCAATACTGAGACCGGGGCCCTGGGTTCAATCCCCACTCAGTCACTGACACCTTGGAGGCCCGGGGATGTCTCTGTGCCTTTCTGGGTCCCAGCTGTCTCAACGGCAGGGCTGAGCTGTCATGATGTCACTAGGAAAGATGGCCCTGAAGCCAGGCTAAGGTGGCCTGCATTCCTCACGTTGACTCCCCCAAGAATGCCATAGTTTCTCAGAGTGGCCCGAGCAGAGCAGGCATAAGATTTCCTTCTCTCTTCCTTTCTTCCTTCTTTCCTCCCTACTTTTCATTTTATTTCTCCTTCTCCCTCTCTCCTTCTGTCCTCTCTCCCCTCCCCCCCCCCCTTTTTTTTTTGAGACGGAGTCTTGCTCTGTTGCCAGTGCTCTGAGTGCAGTGGCGCAATCTCGGCTCACTGCAACCTCTGCCTCTGGGTTCAAGCAATTCTCCTGCTTCAGCCTCCCCAGTAGCTGGCACTACAGGCACATGCCACCACGCCAAGCTAATTTTTGTATTTTTAGTAGAAATGGGGTTTCACCATGTTGGCCAGGATGGTCTCGATCTCTTGACCTTGTGATCTGCCCATCGGCCTCCCAAGGTGCTGGGATTACAGGCGTGAGCCACCGTGCCCAGCCTTTCTTCCTCTTTTTTCACCAAAGGAAGCCCTGTCCTTTGGTGAGGGTGGGACCCTATGCTTCCAGAAACAGGGTTAAGATGTGAAAGCCCCCTCCCTACTCCAGGATCCCGGCAGGCGGAGATGAAACAGGCTGAGACTGAGCAGTAGCAGCAGGCGGGTGAGCTATCCCTGCCTCTCTGCAGAGCGAGGCTTGGTTCCTGGGGAGAGGGGGCGGTGGCAGTATGTATCCCAAAGCACCCCAACACGTGTTACTGCTGCTCCTCCAGGGACCTCCCAGGCCACCCTCCCACCCCAGGCAAGCTCAGTTTTCCTCCCAGGGTTGGAAGCTCTGCGGGCGTGGGAAGAGGAGGGCACCTCAGCCACCTGGCAGGGATGGCACTGATAGGCTTCTTGTAGATGGTGATGAGCTTGTCCAGGACCACGACGGCAGTGGTGAAGACGCGGTAGGAGTGCAGGAAGGTGTTGAGGAAGTCGATGCTCAGGAAGCGCAGGTCGGTCAGCCTCTCCAGCAGCCGCTCCACGCTTGCATAGCGGATCTGCAGCACTTTGCAGGAGTTCATGGTTTTGCTGAAGCGAATGTCAACATCATCACAATATAAGGAGGCGTCGGACCTGAGAGGGGAGGAAGGACGCAGAGGTGACGAGCGTCTAAAGGCATCTGAACGGCGCCCACCAGGCCCGCTCATCCCCATCCCCCACACACGGACAGCCCAGGACCGTCTTATTAAGAGAACAAGGAAGCTTGGGAAGGATGACATTGAAGGAGGACTACAACGTCTTCCCAATATCCTAAAAACTCTCCATTATAAAACCCCTAGAAATACTGGAGAAATATTACAAACTTAAACATATGTGTTGCTGAGTTCATAAGATATAAGGAACTCCGTTCACACAAGTATGTACGTGGATGGGGTGCAGTGGCTCACGCCTGTAATCCCAGCACTTTGGGAGGCCGAGGCGGGAGGATCATTTGAGGTCAGGAGTTTGAGACCAGCCTGGGCAGCATGGCGAAACCTCATCTCTGCTAAAAATACAAAAGTTAGCTGGGCATGGTAGCGCATGCCCGTAATACCAATTACTTGGGAGGCTAATGCTCAAGAATCACTTGAGACACTTCCCGTCAACCTGGGTGACACGGCGAGACTCTGCCTTAAAAAAAATGTGTAAATGAATGTTCTTGGCAGCACTATTCATAATAGGCCCAAAGTGGAAACCACCCAGGTGTCCATCAGCTGATGTGTGGACAAACAAAATGTGGTCTATTCGATATGCTAGCAGCTGCCAAGATGTGAGGAGAGGTATCTAGTGCAGTCAGCCAGAAAAAAAGGGGCTGAGCTGGGTGTGAACTTGCAGGGGTCTTGTTTCAGCTGCCGGTGAACTTGAGGTCAGCAGCCTCTACACCGGGGGAGCCAGTGGCCCTGAAGGCTGCTGTACCACACAGCGCCCTCTGGTGGTTAAGCTACGGGAATGTTTCATTGACCGTCCAATGGGGAGCTATCAGGGCTCTTGAGAAACTGGAGGTTTTCATTTTCTGGACATTGTGAATCTTTGTAATCATGTTTTACTTCTTGTTTTGGCTACCAAGAATCTTAGAATCAAATCTAGTGCTCATTTCTTTTTATTTACTTCTTTATTTTTTGTTTGTCCTTATTACTTACATGCTGATGGCTATAGTTTTTTTTTAATGAGACAGTCTCATTTGCCCAGGCCAGACCGTGCAGTGGCTGGTGCGATCATGGCTCACTGCAGCCTTGACCTCCTGGGCTCAGGCGATCCTCCTGCCTTATCCTCCCCAGTAGCTGGGATAACAGGGGCATGTCACTATGCCTGGCCAATTTTTGTATTTTTTGCTAGAGACATGGTTTCACCATGTTGCCCAGGCTGGTCTCGAATTCCTGGGCCCAAGTGATCCTCCTGCCTTGGCCTCCCAGTGTTGGGACGACAGGTGTGAGCCACTGTGCCTGGACTATCTAGTTACTTTTTTCTTTTCTTTGAGATGGAGTCTTGCTTTGTCACCCAGGCTGAAGAACAGTGGCACGATCTTGGCTCACTGCAACCTCCACCTCCCCAGTCCAAGTGATTCTCCTGCCTCAGCCTCCTGAGTAGCTGGGGTTACAGGCATGCACCATCACACCTGACTAATTTTTGTATTTTTAGTAGAGATGGGGTTTCACCATGTTACCCAGGCTGGTCTTGAACTCCTGGCCTCATGTGATCCGCCCACCTCGGCCTCCCAAAGTACTGGGATTACAGACATAAGCCACTGCACTTGGCCTCTATCTAGGTGTTTTTAGATGCATTTAGTCATTTGCCTTAAATCTTTTGTATTCTAGTGGGATGTGACTAGAAGAATATATAAATGAACAAATAAATATATTACTGAAAAGATAACCTTGGAAATCTTGTCAAAATGAGCTTACAGGTAAAAAAAGTCTACAAATGAACGAAATCAGCCCATAAAGGCTGTCATGGCAAGAACAGGTTTAGCTTCCCGTAATGGGAATAATGCAAGGCTTAGAATCAGAAAAGATGGGGCTGGATATCACCTTTACTTTTGTTTCCTGTCTGTCCTTAGACAAGGCACTTACTCTTTAGTTTTCTCCTCTGTAAAATGGAAATAAGATCTACCTCACAATACGTTTCCGGGCCTAATAGAGTAACCAGTTCAAGGGGCCTAAACAATGTTTGGCGCACAGAAGCGAGTGAAAAAGTCAGCTCTGAAGTCACCTGCTCGTGTTTATTTTATTTATTGATTTCATTTTAATTTTTTTTTAGATGGAGTTTTGCTCTTGTTGCCCAGGCTGGAGTGCAATGGCACAATCTTGGCTCACTGCAACCTCTGCCTCCAGGGTTCAAGTGATTCTCCTGCCCCAGCCTCCAGAGTAGCTGGGATTACAGGTATACGCCATCACGTCCGACTAATTTCATAGTTTGAGTAGAGATGAGGTTTCTCCACGTCGGTCAGGCTGGCTCGAACTCCTGACCTCAGGTGATCTGCTTGCCTCTGCCTCCCAAAGTGCTGGGATTACAGGCATGAGCCCCCGTGCCTGGCACCCCTGGCTAATTTTTAAAATGTTTGTAGAGATGGGTCTTGCCATGGTGCCCAGGCTGGTCTTGGACTCCTGGCCTCAAGTGAGTCCTCCCAGAGTTCACCTGCTCCTTTTGCTGTCTCAGTGTGCACCTTTTCCAGAGCATGAGTGGGTAGTCACTAGACATTGAATGGTAACTCCAGCTGTGAGTTTTATTGGATTATTGAAACAGATCTAGGAAGAAGGTAGGTACCACGTACCCCATTCATAGGGTGAGAAACCCACACTCAGAAAGATTGAGTGACTTGTCCACAGTCACAGAGTCGGGCTGGGGACCAGGGCCATTGCCTTCAAGCCTGGACCTTCCTGCTGGACCCCACCACTTGTTCAGTGATGCCGTCATGAGGGGAATAATTCCTTATCAACTCGTGCAGAGGCCTGAAGACCTGGTATGCCTGAAGCTTCCTTGACTAGCCCCTGACACACCGTAGGCTCCTAAAGGGCTTGCTTCATCAGACTTCAGATTGGTGGCGGGTGGAAACAAAGATTTCATACATCGAATTATGTTCTGCATTAAATGCACTAAGTCTGCAGCTCCTCAGAGCATGTGTGTGAAGTAGCAAAGAGGCCTGGGTCACCCAGATGATTGTTCTGGCAACAGCAACGTGACCCAGATACGAGAAGGGTCCAAGTATATACCACGTGAGCAAGAAAGGTAGGCTCAGAATTCAGAGGTGCGAATGGAGAGCACAGAGCCAGTGGGGGCCAGGGTTGGGGCAGGAAGGAGGGTGTGGCGAGGGGGTCAGGCGTGCAGGTGACTGCAAGAGAATTGTGCCTGGTGCAGGTGAGGGAGGCTGCATTACCCAGGACTTGGAGAGCTGTGTTTATAGGACACCTGCTATAACCCTCTTGTCTCTGGGGATTGTTCATACAAACACAGTGGCACTGGAGCCTGTGTTTTGGTTTTTCCGGCTTTGAAATGTTCGACGTATTCATTTTTTTAATCAGGAAAAGAAAAATAGTTATTCAAAAAGAACATATAAAGTTTCATTCCGAGTGTTATATTTTAAACAGCCTAATACAAAAATAATCCACATGTGCAAAACAGATGAAAAATAACCAAACTAAGCCAAAACACCATAATAAAAAAAATAATAGATATTGTTGTGGATGCGGTGGAAAGGAACACTTCTATGCTGCTGGTAGGAACATAAACTAGTACAACCACGATCGAAACAGTGTGGAGATTCCTTAAAGAACGAAAAGGAGAACCACCATTTGACCCAGCAATCCTACTACTGGGTATCTACCCAGAGGAAAAGAAGCCATTATACACAAAAGATCCTTGCTGATGCATGTTTATAGTAGTTTACAATTCGCAAGAATGTGGAAGCAGCCCAAACGTCCATCGATCAATGAGTGGATTAAACAACTGCAGTATAGAGATATGATGAAATACTTCTCAGCCATAGAAAGGAATGGATGAACGGCATTCACAGAAACGTGGATGGGATTGCAGACTGCTCTTCTAAGTGAAGTAACTCAGAAATGGAAAACCAAACAGGGTTTTGGTTATGTTCTCACTCATAAGTGGGAGCTAAGCTATGAGGATGCAAAGGCCTAAGAATGATGTAACGGACTCCGGGGACTCGGGGAAATGGTAGGAGGGGGTGAGGAATAAAAGACTAGAAATTGCGTTCTGTGTATACTATTCGGGAGATGGGTGCACCAAAATCTCACAAGCCACCACTAAAGAACTTACTCATGCAACCAAATGCCAGCTGTTCCCTAAAAGCCTATAGAAATTAGAAATAAAAAACACTAAGCCAAAGCAATCATCCAAATATCAATCACCCAACTCAAAACAAAGAAGCAAACATCTAAAACACCCCAAAGACAAAGCCTACTTTGAACCCCAGTAGCTGGCCCATCCCAGTGTCCTGGCTGCCACCTTGTGGCACTGTCTCTGGAAGGCAGCCTGGTCAAGATGGGGTTAAGGGCACTTACTTGATCATCTGTGGCACGGTGACCTTGGAATTTTCTTCAAATGCGTTCATCATGAGCCCATTGCACCGGATGTTATCCACACACTGGAATCAGAGAGAGGACCCCAGGGTCAGAGCCTTGCTCTCCATTCTTGGACCCAAGCCCACCAGGAGCGCTGCCAACTGTAAAATTCACAGGCCTCGGCCCAACACAGAGTCCTCAAGCTTCAAGGCATTGTCCTGGCAAGGGCAGGGTCAGCATGGAGCATCCTTTAGACTTTGGCTGGAAGTCAAGTCCCAGTTGAGTGACGTTGGGGAACTTCCTTGACCTCAGGTCTTAGTTTCCCTCTATGCAAAGTGGGGAGAGTGACTTCTAACTCACTGGATCGATGGCAAACAGTCACTGGAATGCACAATGAATGCATCTGACACCGACCATTCTGTTGCTGACCTCTGGGGTCAGTGTCAAGGCCAAGATCAGATCTAAGGTGATGTGGGATCTCTCTCCTGGGAGGCCAACCCAGCAGGGCCTCTGTCCCTGTGCACCAGGGTGCTGTACTGTGTTCTCTCTGTCCTCTAACCACCACAGTGCCCATACTTGGATGCTGTGGATGGTTTTCCATATTAAGAATCCATGGGTATGGAGTCCTGGGAAGACAAGGCTGCTGGTGGGAGGGGCACAGACGGTTGTCCATTTCACTCAGCCTCCAAAAAAAAATGCAAAATCCAAATTTTGCTTTGAATACAAAGTACCCGCCCAAACAAAAATAAAAGATGCATCTCTTGGGGGGCTGCTTCTTTTCCTCTGCACTGGCCCTTGCCCCGGGTCTTCAGATTTCTGCCATGAGAGGGTTTTCTCTTGGCGTAGGGACAGGGAAGGCTTGGTGGTACATCACAGAATATTCTGGTTTTGAGAATGTGTGTGTGGCAGGGAGTCACTGGGAAGTAGCAGCTGAGAGATGGCACAGTGGGTGGTGGAGCTCCCAGGCCCAGACTTCTGTGCAAGGCCAGGACCCCAAAGAGGGTGGCTCCTGTCACCTGAATTTCCAAGCCCCCCTTCTCCCACCCACCTGACAATCTCTTTAGCTTTGGTTCTATCAGAAACTCCAAAACAAAGACGACTTGGTCATGGGCTCAGAGTGTTATGAAGGCAGGAGAACCAGGGGAAGGGGCCGGAGAATTCCCCCGCCCCGACCCACCCACTGGCATCCGAAACAGCTATCAGGAGGGCACGCTCCGGGCAAGCAGCCCCGGCCTTTGACAGCTGCGGCTCACTGGGGATGTGAAAGGGCCAAGCTCAAGGTCTACAGTTCTCTCTAGGGCTTTCTGGGTGTTTTGAAGACACGTGGGAAGACTTAGAACAGGCACCTACTATGCATCATCCCACCCGCCTTACTCCTCTGGGACTGCTAGATGGGCAGGTGGGCCAGAAGGAAGGCTGGAGAGGCAGTCAGGGGAGCCTGGAAGGGGCACAAAACCAAGATGGTGGGGGGCGAGCAAGGCCAGCCGTCCTGGGTCCCATGAAGATGCTGTCCTTTCAGTTCCCACAGGCACAGGCCTCCTGCAGCCCTCTGGACCATGGGGGGGCACCAACCTCCCTCCCCTTCTGCTGTCAGTTCCTCCTTACTTCTCCACCCTGAAGAGAGGATGGCCAAGGCTCCCAGCTGCTGGGATGGCACATCCGTGATCCATCAGAGGTCCTTGCTGGGCTCAGAGAGGGGCCTGAACCCCGGTGTGGCTGACAGCCACCTCCCAGACTCAAGTCTTACCCCTTGTACTTTAGGTATCCATGGGCTCTCTGGGTCTGCTCACTGGTACCTGGGAAAGTCTGGTGAATGACCCTAATGCTTACAGCAGGCAAAAGCAACACTAAATCTCCCACGTGCATAGCTGAGGCTGGGTTCGATCTTAGGTAACTGCCCTGCCTCACTGAAGAAGGTACCCTAGGCTTTCAGCGACGCCATTCCCTCGCTGTGAACATTATTATATCTCACATGCTCAGACTTTCCTGTGCGTATCAATGACCTGGGGCATGTAGCAAAATGCAGATTTACAGCTCACATGCCAGCAATGTAGATCTGTAAGTCTGTGGGTAGCGGGTAGGGGGCAGAGGGGAGAAAGGCCCAGGAATCTGAAGTTTTTAAAATCACCTTGCCAGGTGAGACAGATGCAAGGGGCCTCCAGACCACACTTTCAGGGTGAACCAGGGGACTGCAGACGGGATGGACTGGCTGAGCGCAGCTTTGGGTAGGGCTGTGGACTTGGAAGATTCTTGCATCTTTCTCTGTAGAATAGTGCAGCTACTCTCCCCCACCCCCAGCCAAGCCGCTGACCTGGTTAGGCATGAAGGGAACACTTGCTTTCAGGAACAGGTGATCTGCTCACCTGGCTGATGTCACTGGTCCATGCCGCCTTCTCCTGTCTGGACGAGGCCACTAGGATGACTGTAAAGGGTGGAGAATCTTTTGGCTCCACTCCGATTTTAAAATCCAGGTGATCTACGTCTTGGCCGGATCCTTTGGCTTCCAGTTGTAAAACACAAAGTTAGCAGCATGAATGTGGACCCTTTTTCAGCTGAAAATGTTTTAGTGGTCCCTGTCGTAGGTACCAGTGGAGGCTCTGCATTGGTAAGGCACCAGGCCACTTGCTGCTACTTTCGGAATGTTATTTTCCTAAGTGGGGAATACCCATTTCAAAGATGGAGAAACTAAGAGATGGGGTGCAGAAGTCGCTTATAACCACACAGGGGAGCTCCGGATTCAGAGCAGAAGAACTTGGAGGAATCACAGTCTGCCCTCTGCCCTCATCCTAACCATGGAGGTGAGGTCCCACACGAGGACTTGTCCAAAGCTCTCATCAGAGCAGCCAAGCCAGGGAGGCAGGAGAATCAAGGGAAGGGGCCGTGGGACCTAGAGCTTTACGAGGATCAGCCAGGCCTTCCTGCTACCACAAGGTGGTGCTGGGGCCCAAAGAGGAATTTCAAGATCTTAAACTTTTATGGATTGGGCTGGACATTTAGTTCAGTTTAGAGCTCCCCGAAGCAAAAGTAAATTCCAGTTATTTTTATTACTGCTCTTAAAAAGTTCCTTGGACTCTTGAAAGCTGTTTCTTTGAAGAACTAAGATCACAGCTTCAAGATTCTTTTCAACGCACTCACATCAATTGGGGTGCACTGAATGGGTTAATGGTGTGAAGGGCCTGCTCTGGCTCTGCTTTGCTCTGAAGCTCTATAGCTGTGTGATGCTGGGGTGGTTTCCTTCCCACTCTGGGCTTCAGGTGTCCTCCTGTGCAACAGGAGTGGGACCTGATTTCTCTGAGGGTCCTGTACCTTCTGTTCTGACACCTGAGAATTTTAGGAGTCTTTGCAGTTCATGGGGGAACCCACTCTCCTGGCACTATGCTGGCGGCTCTGAGAAGTGGGTGTCTGTGTGTGGGTGTGTTTCAGGTGGCGGATGCTCGTGGCCATGCTCCCCATCCTCCTGAGCTTAGGAGGGTAAGGAGCTCTGTGGCCAGACAGTGCCGATTGAGTCGGCTTTCCTGTGAACCTGCCATGGCCAAGACCGTGGGTGAGATGAAAGATGGCTGAACGGGTAAAAGGCCTTAAAGTAAACTGCCTCCTCGTTTATTCCTCCCGTGGGGAACCACTTGGCTTGGCCCTTATTGGAAAGGAATGAAGGAAGCAGAGCCCAGCGGTAGCAGGGGCTGAACCAAGTGTGTGGGTACGGGCATGTGTGTGTGTGTTTGCCAAGTGTATGTGTGGCAACCCCAGGCCCATGCCCACCCCCATGCCATGCTGAGCCTACGGTGCTAAGGGGCTTCAGACACAGCCCACCCCAGGAAGCCCAGTCTGAGGAGGGCAAAGGGCACGGGTCCTGCTGGTATCCCCACAGGGCAGGGCATCCAGAGGCATCTCTGAGGGTCTTGGCTTGAGGTCAGGGAAGAAGGAAGATGAGTGCCAACTTTGGCCCAATCAAGAGACGGCAGTAATCCCACCCCCTAATCTGAATAATGACCCCACCTCCAATTCTGATGCCTAGGGAGATAAATTCCATCAAATCTCACAGCACCAAGGACTCTCCCCTTTGCGCACTTCCCCCTCCAGCCCCATTTGAGTTGTTCAGCCTCTTCTCACTGAGGCCTTGCCTCCCCTCCCGGCCCCTGCTAGGGTATGGTTGCCCCTCGGGACACTTAGCCCTGCGATCCCTCTGTCACTGGCCCCTGCACATTCTGTCCTTTTCCACTGCAGGACAGAGATGGGGCTGGGTGTCTCTTTGTCTCCCAGCATGTGTCCCTGACAGCCCTGGTGCATATGACACACAGGTGCGGGAATAAGGGGTGCTCACTGAGATGCTGTGACCTCCGAAACCTAACAGTGCCAACTGGTCCAGCAGCCCAAGGAGCTTGGAAGGAATCGGGAAGGTGGATCAGGGCTATCACCCGAGGGGCTGGGAGCTCTTTCTTTAAAGCCTCGGCCTCCAGCCTCTCTGCGCCTTATTGGAAGTACGAGCTGTAGCAGGGGCTGAACAGAGTGTGTGCATGAGGGCACGTGTGGACCACCCCACCGCACTTCAGCATCCTCCCTTCCTCCCAAAGAAACTGGTGCCTGGCCAAGCTTTAGGAGTGAGCATGCGCGTTAGCGTGCGAGCACACGCATGTGCACATGCAGCTTTCACGAACACCCTCCTCCATCCAGTGCCTGGCCAAGCTTTAGGAGTGAGCATGCGTGTTAGCGTGCGAGCACATGCCTGCGCACATGCAGCTTTCACACTCACCCTCCTCCTCCGTGCTTTCTGACTCCTCCAATAAAGTGCAGTCAATGAGGGATATGACTCCATTCTGAAAAAGAACAGTAGGGGCCGCTTTGGATTGAGGGTAGACGTGCTGCTTTAGGAGAGTCTGGATGACTGGAAGGGACTTTCACAGGGAGCACACACACAGATGTATGGATATGTTATATGTCAAGTGGGCATTTTGCTTTTTCAGTTGAATGACTTCCTCTTCATATAAGAAGCTCAACCAAGTGGGTCAAAGGGGATTGTCTCAGAGAGGCCTTCCCCGAACAAAGATTGTGTTAAGTCCATGGGCGGAGCGGCCAGAACCTGACTTGCTTGGCCCCTTCTTGCTTTTGCAGAAGCTCCAGGGCATTGCTTCACAGTCCTAAATCTGCAGAGGTTTGAAATCTCCCGTTTTAGGCCAAAGCTGTCAGGTTACCCACAGGAAGACAGAGGCTGGTCTTACGGGTATGGTTATTCTCATTTTACAGGTGAAAATATTCCATGCAACAGGGAAGTTGCATGTCTTGTCCAAGGTCCCCTGGCAACTTAGCAGGGAGTCTGGAGAGAGACTCAAGGGCCCAATCCCAGTCCTGGTCAGTTACTTATTTTTAATTATTAGGAATACCTGGAAAAATGCCTCCCATCCATGAGTGTGTGAGTAACTCTTGGGCATGAGGTCCCTTGACACTGCAGTGAGAAATAAGAGTGGCCACAACTGTGGTGGTTGTAAGATACGCTCACAGATTCTTCCACATTTCTCTTTGCAGAAGGTGAAGCCTAATTCCCTTCTGGAGTGTGGGCTGGATTTAGTGACTTGCATGTGATTAAAAGAATAAATCAGAAGCAACCGTGTGCCACTTTGGAGACTACAGCCTCCTGCTTGCTCTCTTGCTGTCTCTTGCATCACCTGTTCTGGGGACACCGACTGGCATGTTGTGGTAGAGGTCTATGAATCAGGAACTTAGGCCTCCTGCCAACAGCCATGGAACGTCTTAGAAAAAGGATACTCTGGCCCCAGCTGAGCCTTCAGAACACCATGGCCCAGCTGACATCTCGACTACAAACCCATGAGATTCCCTGAGCCACGACCACCCAGGTAAGTCGCTCCTGATTTCCTGACCCACAGAAGCTGTGGGGTAATAAATATTTGTTTTAAGCTACAACATTTGGGAGTAATTTGTTACATGGCAACAGATAAACAGCATAGTAATGGATGATAATGGAGGCCTGGCCATGTGACTAACCTATATATGGAAATGCTTACACAGCAGGCTGCGCCTTGGGAGACAATGTAGACCACCAAACCCTGGGTTTAATTTCTTGCTTTGCTCTTTGTTAGCCTTGCTTTAGCCCCCAGGACTAGCCCAGTGGGCCTTAAGCCTGCCCAGCGATATCACTGGGCTTGATTATTCTGAAAGCCCCATCTAGCTCTGACATTCTCTTACTTCAGGGTCTCAGGAATTCTTACAGTGGTTTTACATCTTGCAGATCCACAGTCTGCCCCCTTCAGAAAGGAATGAAGACATTCAGTTGCCACTTGTGACATTCAGAGAGAAGTGATTTGAATTTTAGCTTATGGCTATTGGAGACTAGAGCCTAGGGATTAAGAACACAGACTCTGGAGCCAGCTGGCTGGGTTCAAATCCCAGCCCTGTCACGTGCTGGCTTCTTCTGTCTCACTTCCCTTATCTATATAAAATAGGGAAAATGATAGTATCCGTCTCAGTGGGTTGTTCTGGGAATTAAATATACGTAACATATTTGAGTGAGTTCTTGTACGCAAGGGCTTGATATTATGATTACAAGTTCATTATTACATAATTAAGAGTGACAATGTCTGTTACCTATTGAGCACTTAGTGTGTACCTGACACTAGGACCTCTCACTTACTCCTCTAAAGGAGGTATTTCTATACCCTTTATGCAGATAAGGAAACTGAAGCATTGTGAGGCCCTGTGACTTGTCTGAGGTCACCTACTGGTGGGTGACACTGCTGGGATTTGAGTTGATTTCTGATTCCATGTTCTTCATCAGTGTGCTAAGAGACTTTTAAAACTAAAAACAGCTGGGCGCATTGGCTCATGCCTGTAATCCCAGCACTTTGGGAGGCCGAGGCTGGAGGATCACCCGAGGTCAGGAGTTCGAGACCAGCCTGGCCAAGATGGTGAAACCCAGTCTCTACTAAAAATACAAAAATGAGCTGGGTGTGGTAGCGGGAGCCTGTAATCCCAGCTACTCGGGAGATTGAGGCAGAAGAATAGCTTGAACCCAGAAGGCGGAGATTGCAGTGAGCAGAGATCATACCATTGCACTCCAGCCTGGGCGACAAGAGCGAAACTCTGTGTCAAAATGACGACGACAACAAAAACCCACAAAAAACTAAAAACAAGCAAACAAACACAAAACTCCACATAAAATAAAACTAACGTAAAAACATGCTTCTGGACTTTCAGAGCCTTTGTGTCTTCAGTTTAACCCACCCCCACTGACCCCCCCCACCCCCCCAGCCGAGACAGAGATCTTCTTAGTAGAAACTCCAGAGCTAATAAATAATGAAAGCTTTCCTTGATACATAATTTGGTTAAGACAGAAGCATTCAATATTTGGGCATTAATTTCCCCTTGTGCAGCCAACCAGCTAATTTGCGGCCATGTGAACAGAAGCAGTATATTCTGTTAGTTCTGCAGGGGCTTCCGGGCCAGGCCTCCAGGGTCTGGAATAGTGTTTCCCTGATGCTGGGGCTTCCTTAAGAGCACTTTCTGGCCCTTTCCAGGCCGCAGTGCGTTCAGGCTTCCAAGGTGATGGTGCAGGGCTGGGCCTGCCGCTTACAGAGGCAGGTGTTTCCTAATTGACAGCAGATACACATCCCCTGTGAGCTCACTGCTAACTTATCTCTGTGAGGTCAATGTCCCTATTTGACAGAGGAAGTGTGGACAGGGGCAGGGTCTTCTCCAGGGTCACATATGTGTAAGGGACAGAGCTGGGACGGATGAGACAAGCAGTGGGCTGTGCTGGGGGACAGGAGATCCTGTCCAGGCCACAGGCTTTACAGCAGAGGTGGCACTTGAACAGGCCTTGAGGTATGTGAAGGTCTGCCAGGGGAGGAGAGGCTGTATGGCTGAAGACAGCACGAGCAAAGGCCCTGGGGCCTGCAAGGAGGCAGGAGTGGGTGTGAGACGCTCATTCCCTCCACCTTTAGGGATGAGCTGTTAGCTGAGCGCCGGGGCCTCATGAAGGGCTGTGAGGTCCTGAGGGCGGCTCCTTGTGGAGCAGTTCGGCAGCCTTCAGGGCTCCTGTGCTGGAGGACGGGATGCCTGAGAAGGTCGCTGGGAGGGGCTCTGTCAGAGCTCCTTTAGGGGTGGAAATGAAATAAAGGCTGAGTGATGCCCTGGCCCTCAGCCAGTGGAGGCCCTCCACCCTGCCCCCACACACCACACACAGACACACACACATACCACACACAGACACACACACACCACCCACACACAAATACCACACACAGACACACAAACCACACACAGACACACAAACACATACTTTACACATAGACACACATACATACACAATACATACACACACAGAGACACACACATACACACACCGCACAGAAACACACAAACATACTTCACTCATAGACACACAGATACATACACATGATACACACACAAAGACACACACACCACACACAGACACACACACCCACACACAAACACCACACACAGACACACACACACCACACACACACACAACCACACACAGACACACACACCCACACACAAACACCACACACAGACACACACACACACCACACACACACACACACAACCACACACAGACACACACAACACACACAGACACACAAACACATACCTCACACATAGACACACAGATATATACACATGATACACACACACACAGACACACACAAAGATACACACACCCCACACACAGACACACACACACCACCCACACACAAACACCACAGACACACACACCACACACAGACACACACATACCTCACACATAAGACACACATATATACACATTATACATACAAACACACAGAGACACACACACACACCACACAGAGACACACACATCACACATACATACACAGAGACACACATGTACACAGAAACATACACACCACACACACACATACGCATATACCACACACACCACATACATCCATATAGACATACACAGATATACATATAGACACACAGACACACATTCATACCCACCACGCGTGTACACAAAAAGACAACACATATACACACATACATATACCATACACCACACACACAAATGCACACAAATGCACAGAGACACAACACACAGAGACAAACACACCATACACAAATGCACACACTATGCACACAAATAGAGACACACGTACATACATACACCACATACATGGACACAAACACATATACACATACATACATACTAATATGGTTTGGCTGTGTCCCCACCCAAATCTCATCTTGAATTGTAGCTCCCATAATCCCCACGTGTCATGAGAGGGACTCAGTGGGAGGTAATTGAATCACAGGGGTGGGTTTTTCCTGTGCTGTCCTTGTGACAGTGAATAAGTATCACAAGATCTGATGGTTTTATAAAGGGCAGTTCCCCTGCACATGCTCTTTTGCCTGCTGCTATGTAAGACGTGCCTTTGCTCCTCCTTCACCTTCTACCATGAGTGTGAGGCCTCCCCAGCCATGTGGAACTGTGAATGCATTAAACCTCTTTTTCTTTGTAAATTACCCAGTCACAAGTATTTCTTAATAGCAGTATGAAAATGGACTAATACACACAGAGAGATATAAACACATATCGACACACACACATATACATATATACCACACACACATACACACACATGCATATACACATATACACACACCACATATACAAACACACACAGACACACAAACACTACACATACATACACCCACACACCCACACACACACACACATACATGCCTTTTAGGGGTTTTTCCAGGCCCTCTGGCTCCTCTGCCTAGGTGCCCAGCATGGGGAATCTGAGGCCCTTGATTCTCACCTTCCCATCTCCCAGGATTTTGCTGGTGGAAAACCGGTCAAGTTTTGCTTGGCCAAACTATGAGGTGTGTGTGTATCTGTGTGTGTGCACGTACATGTCTCCGACGCCCCACCCATCATCTGGGCCACAGACCTGATGGCCAGAACAGTGCCTGCGTGACCCTGGCTGGGTGGCCTCGCAGCCCCCTCCCGCAACCCTTACCTTGGTCAGGTGAAGCTTCCCTCCAGAGCCTCTGGTACAGATAATCAGATGCTTAGAAAACAGGAAGCACTGTCGCTCGCCCTCTTTCTTTAGGGACAGAGACCCCAGGCGCCCCCTGGTGATCTTGCCCTTTTCGGACATGGGCACCTGGATGAGGGAACCTGTGGGTGGAGGAGAGAAACCCTGAGCCCATTTCCCGGGGTGACCTTTGCCTCTGACCCAGCTTTGAAGGTTGAGATGCTGGGACTGCAGCAGTGGGACAAGTCCTTTCTGGTTCCCGGTGGCAAATGTGCCCCTGGGATGCTCCTTTAGGCCTCTCTGCAGGGCCAGATGGCTGGGGAATGAAAAGTGATCAGAGAAGCTGTGTGCACGGTCCACTGACCTCCTAGCCAGGGGCTAGGGCCTCAGCAAGCAAAGGAACCCCTGAGGGCATGGTCCATGTGGTGAGAATGAAGGGCTGGGCTGAGGTCTGGGGATGGTGGGGGCCTGAACAAGTGGGGAGCTGGCTGCAGGCCCTGAGAGGTTAACAAGATACATTGCACCCCTGCTGGGAACTGCTTAGGGCAAACCCTGCCTCCCATCCTATTTGTAAAAAAGATAGCTACTAAGATTAAAAAAAAAAAAAGACACATTGCATTCCTGTTGTCCACAGCCATGGCAGACATCACCAATCAATCACCGCACCCCACCGCAGAGCCCAGACACAGTGCTCTAGGACGCCGTTACTGAGCAGAGTAGGCGCCTGTCATGAAACCCATTGCTGCCCTACTCTGGTCTCCCCTCCCTAATCATGCTTTACAGGCCCCCACCCCACTGACGTCCACAGGTCCCCACTGTCCCCAGGATTCCGGCACTCAAGGTCCCCCAGTGGTCTGGCTTGGACACCCTCCCAGCCTGCCCTCTTGCCATTGTCCCCTTCTTCTGCCTCACATGTAGTGTAGGTCAAGTTAGCCTGAGTGTCACTCTTAGTCCTGAAAAGCCCTTCCTTCACTCTGTCTTCCCTGTGAGTTCCTGCTTATCCTTGGGAAAGCCCTCGTGACTCTCTTGGTCCTGCCCAAGGCCACCGCTCTGCGTCCTGCATTGGGGAGATCCACCTGGCTCATGTTCCTGCGTTTGTCCCCTTGTGACTCTCTCCCTCTGTACAATAGGCTTCCGGAGGGCAGGGCTGGGCTATTCTCTGAGTGTCCCCAGAACCCCGCGTAGGGCTGGCATAAGCAGGGCAGGTATCGTATCAGTGTTGGTTGCATGACTGACAAGTGAGAAACACCTTGTAGAATCCACTCATTTTGTCTCCAGGTCCAGCCCAGCTGGAGACGGAGAAAATGCTTTGGCTCAGGGCAATAGAGCAGATTTCTGGTCTGTGGGGACATTGCCCACCCCAAGAGGGCTCATTTCTTGGGCTACTTCCAAGCCAGGTCCACTTGGGGTTCCTTCAGAGGGGGCCTAAAATACTATGTGAGAATACTTCTGGCATAAAGAATGCCCGGCACAGCCTGGGGGGAGCCGAGAGACAGGCAGGGCTAACTGAGGAAGGTGAGCCTGGGGAAGGACATAGGGGCCACCACACACGGGCTGGGACAAAACTCTGAAAAGATGATACCCTTGTCCAAGGCAGCTGCACAGGCCAGCGGGAGGTGCTGGTAAGTATTTCATTAGTCAGAGAATCCCAGGGCTACAGAGAAGGGGCTCTGGAGGTGCGTTTGAGGTGGATGTCACCATGCCAGCAGGATCTGAGTCTCCCACAGAACATGGAAGTTGAATGTGATGAATTTCAAACGCACTGCAGTTCTGAGGTCAGTCCCCTGAACCACAGAGAGGCTTCACCTGCCACTCTCAACAGGGTCGTGTGGTGTCTCTCAAACACTGCTCCCAAGGTAAGCGAGGCTGAAGCATGGGAAGATTTCTACCCATGAGAACCCCGGTGAATGTGGGCTCTCCAAAGCAGCAGAGAATGGTGAGGAAAGGACAGGGGGACGGACCCAGCAGTGATACCTCCCAGACACTGAACATGCTTCTGACTCACAGAGACAACTGTTAGCTGTCCTCATCCCCCGTCCCACACTTTCTCCCCAAAAAGGACATTTCGATGTTTACTATGACATACAATAGACAAACCAAGGCCATCTGGGTAGAATTCTGTTTACATCTGGAGAGAAGGAAACTGTGAAAACCAATAATATCTGCATCTATATGTATAGATATGACATCTACATATAGCTGTTGCATTCCGCCAGCAGCCTGGAAATATTCTGCAATCACATTGGCAGGTCTTGGCATGTGGCAGCCAAACCGACTCCCGGTGTCCCCAAGCGCCGCCTCCCTTCCGCTGCCGGGGCTCACCTGGTGGGGTGGGGGAGGCAGGGTTCAGAGGCCATACCTTGTCTCACAAAGGTCTGGCTGGTGTCCAGGAGGATCTCACAGCCTTCAATGATCATGCGCTCGATGGCCAGGTTTTTCCGGATGTTCTCTGTCTCACTTACTTCATCGTGCATTATCCTGCGGGGATGTGAAATTGCACAGTCAGACACAGGCTGCCCCCACTTCCCAGGGAGGCGAGAATGCCTGGCGTCTGGCCAGACCGAGGAAGGAAGCCTGGCACCCGGATTCTCAGGTGGGGCCTGTAGTCATGGAGAGAAGGGAGCGTGCATTTACTGAGTGCCTGCTGTGTGCAGGGCACTTCACAGGCAAGTGTTCTTATTTCAGAAAAAAGAAAACAGAAGTCAGCAGCTATGAAGCAGATCTGTCAGATTTTAGAGTCTGAACTATGCAGAACAGACAGCAGGGGCAGCCCAGCACTGGGAAGCATGTGGGAGTACAGGACACATCCTGTGTTCATGACCTGACCCTCATCCTGCCCCAGGGCCTTTGCACTTGTTGTCTCTTCTTCTTGAATACTCTTTCTCCAAATATTTGCATGACTGTATCGTTAATATTGCTTGGGCCTGAAATGGCTTATCTTTTGGAGCACGTGGCAATCCTGCTGGCTCAGGGGATGACTGACCTTAGCCTATTTCTGAAGGCTCCAGCCCTTCTGGGAGGGAGTATGGACAACTCCCCTATTTATTGCTCTCGCGATTGCTGTAACACCCCTCCTTTCCAAGAGGTGGCGCCATTCAATAGCTTTAAAAAAATGGCGTTGGTAGGAAAAGGTGGGTGTGAGCTGTCAATTTCACCTTGGTGGGTTTCCAGGAGTCTTGGGAAGGGAGTGAGGAATTTGGCAGGAGCAGGGGCTGGGGAGTGGGAAATGGGGGCTTCTGGCAAACATACCCCACCTGCTCCAAGCAAAGTACGAAGCCTTTTATCTGCTGCAGATGCCTGAATTTCTACAGTTAAGGCAAACAAGAGGGCTGGTTAATACATGTGGTTTACAAACTTCTCTCATGGACATTATCCAATTGAAACCCCACGACAACGAAAGATGACACTGCCTCTTCCGGAGCTGGATTTGTGCTTAACTGAATCAGCACGACATGGAGAAAATTCCTCAAACCCTCTGATCCTGAGTTTCCTCATTTACAGAATGCTGAGGTGAAGATGGAATAAAGGGATTTCAGGTATCGGCCCATACCTTGCCACGCCATGGCTGGTGCATGACAGCTACTGGAATAAGGGCTAGTAGATTGCTGTTGTATTCTCATTGGTTGCAAAAGAGTCATCTTTCCTGCTTTAGGCCAAATTCATTCGACTAGCTCTTTAATAAATGGACCAGGGACTTTAGCTGGAGTCTCTTCCTTGGGAGCCTCAGTTTCCCCTTTCTTCCCCAGCAATGCTCTTCTTGGAAGCCCAGGTCCCCATGTGATGTTTGAAAGGGAGGCGCCTCTGGGCCGATGCTAGTTCCCCAGAGATGGATTCATTCATTCTGGAAGTAGCCAATGGCAATTCAAACCACTTCTCTTGATGAGGGTGGGGTTTTGTGGGGGAAACCTGTATTTGGTAAAACACAAGGGGGTAACTGCAAGGTAGCAAAGCTAGTTTTCCTAAGCAGCTGCAGTTTACACGTTGTAAGTTCCAGCCCCAGATGGGGGTTTGTTTCGGGACTCCTATGCCACACACAGCTGGGGAGCTCTGGGAAGGAGGTGGGAGTTTCCAGGTGGCAAGGCTCCCAGGAGCCCTGGAGATGATGACTTGGGTTATCAGTGGGAAAGTGAGAATACATGGGTCAGCATAAACAGGTGGGGATCTCTACCCAGTCCCCAGAGGTAGGGAGTGTTTCTGATCGCAGCTGCAGGACGGCGTTGGCTATCTAATGGCTTCCTGCCTGTGGGAGCGTGAGAGGAGAATGAAAGGGATGCTGTCCTGAGTTAGGAAAAGCTTCTCTGCAGCTAGCGCTGGGTTCAGGGTCAGGTACAGGCAGCTGCATGGGAGGAGGAGTAGGCTGCACACCCAGGATCCCAGGGATAAGGGGTTGGGGTCTTATGTCAAATACCTCAACACCACATACCACCTGCAGCTCTGTTTGCAACAGGATAGGGTACCCCTCAGCCAGGAGGAGCCCCGCTGCCTTACAGGAGTCCCGAACCTTCTCCCTTGAGGAAGAGCGCGCAGGATGTGGATTCCTGGGCACGGGAAGACTGGAGCCCCCCCACCTTCCTGCTCCGTGGTTTTGTTCCTCTGCAATCACACCCTGATGAGATCCTTGCCGTGATTCTCCACGCAGGTGTGGAAACCGGCTGGGTCATGGAAGGATCAGGGGGCAGCCTGTACTCTGTGCTGGTCCAGCCTGGCCCTCCCTCCGCCCGGCTGGGAGCTGCGGCCTGACTGGTTACCCGCTGTCGGCCTCCGGAAGACTTTCAGGGCACTGAGTGTTTGGCAGGGCTCTGGGTAGGGACGGGGCTGGATCCCAGGCTCTGCAGACTGAACCCTTCTTTGTAGCCCTTGGTAGCCCCGTTCTGACCACAAGGCCCCTCCTCAGCTCTTCACAGGGTGGACACCGCCAGTCTCAGCTGTTGGTTCTCACCTTGCCCCTGTCCAGACTAATTCCTTTGGCAATCTCGCCGGTCCTGTGACTCTGAACACCACCTGCAAGCTGACGGTTGCCGGATTTCTCTCCCCTCCACTCCAGACTCACATTCCCCAGTCCCTTCTTCTCATCTCCACCTGGACACTGAATCTGCGTCTCAGGCTCAGCGTGCTCCCAAGCAAGCTCCTAAACTTCCCTCCGCACCTGTCCCCGTGCAGTTTCCTCCGGGTGGGTAACGGCACCTCTGCCCTCTGGCAGCTCCGCCCCACATCCTAGAGTCATTTTGACTCTGTAGTCTTTCTCTCTCCACATCAAAGCCATCAGAAAATCCTGTTGGTTCTACCTTCCAAATGCACCCAGGACCTGAACCTGCTCCTGGCTTCCACCGCACTGGGGTCATCTGCTGCCTGGGGTGCTTCGAGAGCCCCTCAGTGCTCCCCCGAATCTGCCCTTGCAGAGGAAGCTTCCCTCTGGGCTTCAGGTCGTGGAAGAGGGCCATGTGTGAGGCCTTGACCAGAGGACTGGGCACTGGATTGGACAAGCCACATGCTCGTCCACCACTGCTGCTACCTGCTCCTGGCTGACTGGAGCTGTGGGCACGCGAGGGCCTGACACCCAGGACCACCTCTAGCCCTCCTATGGCCACAGGCTTTGACAGATTGACACTGGAGAACAGAA